GCTTAATCAGTACACACCAGCTAGTTATGCGAATGAGGGTCGCTGCGTTTGGTGTGTTGTGGGAGTGCGGAGTAATCGGCGACTGCCAAATGTGGCTGACGGTACCTGCCGAATGGAACGCGATCCACGCGCTAGGAATGAACGCTCTTCCCAGCCTCGCTCTCACTTCCTAGCATGTACCTCTCACGACCTCCTACGTGAACATACACGAGACATGAATAGTCACCTCTTCACCGGAATGCGTTCAATTGATCTGACTGCCGAATTCCGTCTTCGCCACCGCTGTAATCGCCTCCCTGGTCCGGTCGTACCAGCAAGACTGCGGACTGACCGCCAGGAGTAATCTTCGCCTCCAACTGAACGAGCTCGTTCCAATGGCACGACACGATACAGCAACACACTCTCCGTCTGAGATCTTAGCTGGTCTTCGAGCGCATGGCGCAGACTATCACTAGAACATTGCGGTATTAACTCCCTCTTCGCTTGATAGTAGTGGCGAGATGTCAGCAGCAGAGACAGCTATCACGCATATCGCAACCTTCTCTTCGCCGATTATATGCGACTATCAGATGGCTTAGACTGTTCCAGAGATCTGTTCGGCTCCTTTTCCGAGATGATCAGCGTTGGCCCATATTAGACTAGGGCACAGCCACCTAGTCACGTTTTTGAAACCACCTCGAAATTATCGATGGATGAACTTCATCTTTCGGCGTCTAAGATACTAATGTTTCGCAAGGCATTCACCGTATGATAGGTCTTCGAATTCTTGTGTCGACGCGAGTTCAGCGAACTTCCCACCATTGAGCAGAATAGGCCCACAAAGGGTCAAAGCAGGCCTTTGAGCAACGAGTGGCTGCTACACCAGGCACGCTATGCAATTTACTGTTCCTAGCGACGACATGGCATATCTTGTGGAGCAATAAGCTTATTCAAACCGGCTGCTAAGTTCTGAAGTTCCTTGGGGTTAGCGGTGTATGGTCCATGCAGCCTTACCTACAGGGACCTAGCCAGTGCGGGAATCCTTTGGGGGCTGTACACACCACCTGGTCAACGGCCCGTCAGACGATGCACTAACCATACACGCACGCGTCATGGCCTGCAAAGCCTCGTCCAGCTGCATGGAACATGTTCGTTACTGGGCTGTTTCGAAAACGCTGTAGGTTGCGCCGTCCACTAGCCGAACCGAGAACCACCGTCGAACATTACAGCTTGGCATACAGCTTGTTTGCCGTCTCTCCCTCCGGAAAATCCAAGGACCTGGTTTGCCAAGGCGCTGAAACACTATTATGCTAGCTTTCCGCTCGAGGTCGTCTCTTCACGATGTCTACATTGCTGATAGTCTTGCACTCTTTACTTGTACTAAGTCCTTGGGTCACTGCTACTTGGTTGACATAACTCAAGTTTATTGCAACATCTTCAAACAACTCTTGTCATCTCTTTTGACCATATTATCCTGTCTGCCGTCCATTGCAAGAGATCTCTGTCTATATCCGGATTTCCTGGAGTACAGCATCGTCATCTGTTCGCAATCACTATGGACAATTCCATTCGCCAGCCTCGAAAGTGGTCTTTGGCGGAAGATCAGAAACTCCGCGAAGAAGTGGAGGCCCAACGTAAGTTACACAGTTGCATGAGACACAGCACATGTGGTATTCTATGCTCCGCAGCTATGCAACAGTCTCTGCATATCATTCTTCTCCAAGCAAGCTAACTAAGCATCATCAGTCGTGGAAGGAGAAGTCAAGGATTGGTATGTTGCTTTTACCCCACTCAAGTCCACAACTAACAGTGCCCGTAGGTGCAGAATCGCCGACAGCCTCCCTGGTCGAACGAACAAAGATTGTCGAAAACGGTGGCACAACTCAGTAGCAGGAGGTCTCAAGAAGGGGCAGTGGTCAAAGAGTGAAGATCAGTTGCTCTCAAGAGGGGTACAACAATACGGCCAAAAGTATGGCTCAACAATCAGAAGCACATACTGGTACTGACTCCACTATCAACAGATGGACAGTGGTCGCAAGCTGCGTCGGAAGTCGCAGCGCAGACCGTAGGTACTACGATGTATTACTACTTCGTTGCTGACCATCCCTTAGAATGCGCGAAGCGGTGGCAGCAGTCACTTGATCCGGATCTTGATCGAAGCGAATGGCGCGATTTAGATGTCAGTGCCAGCAGACTCTCGGACAGAAACCGCTTTCGGCTTGCTGACAGGTGCTGTTTAGGACTCAACACTCATTGACGCAGTCCAGCGACTCGGACGACACTGGAAAGACATCCAACGTGAACATTTTCCAGGAAGATCAAAGAACGATATCAAGAATAGGTACGTTGTTCACTACTGCTTGTCCCACCACCTTCTAATATTGTCAAGATATACGGTCCTCGTGCGGAGATACCAGAACCAGGGCATCACCCTTCCCAATGCCCCAAGTTCTCCATCCGACTCTGGTACACCGGCCCTGTCGAACTATGCCGAGGACGATGACTACCTATCCCCCAATTCCCACATGTACGATACGTTCCTGTCCACACCATCACACGGATCAAGTCGCCATTCCTGGTCAAGCTTCGACAACGACGCATACTCGACATGGTCATCTCCACAAACATACGCCATGCCTACCGCTACAGCCGACCGGATTTCACATCATTCATCGGCCACTCCGTCTCAGTATCTATACACTCAGCCACCACTGGGCTCCAACATGCCTGCCACATGGGATCAAACGTCGCCCTACGCACATCACCCCTCACCATCACTGCACACCGGTGCACCCACGAGCCCATCAGTGTATGGCTACAGCCCATATCCGGTCGCCCAGCAACCAATAACGCCCCACAACATTGCTTACACAGCCTCCACGGAGCGAGCAGCATATGCCACGATGCCGAATTACTCGCCACCTACTGCATCAGGTCAGCGGGTTTACGACCAGAGCGCATCGGCAATGTACCGTGACCCCAGACATTCACAACATCCTTACTATCAGTCGTGAGGCTGTGCAACCTGTATGTTAAAGTGTATAGCTTGGCAGTTACTTAATAGGTCAGATCTGGCGAGTACTTGATAGGTCGAGTTCTGAGAGTCTCGTCACACATATGCAATGAAGATAATTTTCCGCCCACAAAGCCTCGACCAATCTTTCGTTTCACCGAGTGTCAATTGCGTTTCAAACACCACCTTGCGAACCTTGATGCCAACTACTGCGGGTTCTCTAGACGCGAAAGGGCCTAACCACGTGACAAACCCGGAAGTGAGGACCCCTGATTGGCCGCCTAAACCCAGCACAGCCTCAACCCCGAGTACAAGTCGGACGCCTCGTACCCCCATCGCGTTAAAGTTACCCAACCAAGTAAAGTGCGCATCTACGGAAGAAAAAGAAGAACGAAAAGACAGGATCGGTTACCCAGTCGAGTCAAAATAGTACCGTCCCCACTATCACGAATCAGGGTTGTTGCGCGGCGGGCCACGCCCGGGCTGTTTCTTTTTCTCTGCCTTGAAGACAGCCTGAGCCGTTGCAGGCCAGCACGCGCATCAATACACCAGTGATCACATACATGCTAGCTAGCGTCAGCTAATGTAGAGTGTCCTGATCCGCGTCCACGTCCGCTGCACGATGCACGATCTCGTCGCCTGGACCGCTGTTTTACCTGCCTCATCCGTTGCGCGACGCGTGTGACTTCCTCTCGTTTACACACGCGAGTCCCTGCAGCATTTGGCGCTTGTAGATGGTATCATGCCATTCTGCTTCGCTTGGGCGTTGTTGGTGTTGAAAGTTTTCGTCACGATACACCGTGCGTCTGGTGATGGCTTGCCGCACAGCGGTAGGTACCGTTAGCATGGAACCTTGAAGTCAACCACCTCCGTGGAACGGCGTCCCGTTCCTGTCGATCTGTGCCTTCGATGCACGCCCTACATTGTTCTTCACATTGTCGGACCGGACTTTGGGTCTGGTTTCGGTTGGTATGTTCCTACGTTGCTGCCTTGAGCAGGCCTCGTCACCGCCGTATACTTGCGTCTGGTATCGTGGGAAGGGGTACGCGTTCCTGCATGGAAAGAATGTATATTTGGGCACATGAACACTCTAGAAGGATGATATGATGTCAAACGTATGATGTCAAGTACCCGCTGGCGTGGTAGACTTGCATTCGGTATCGCCAGTCGAAGTTTTCGGCGATCCTTGAATGAAAACTACGTGTTGGCGTGGGTGAGGGCATCTGGCCAGTATGCATGATGAGGTCGAAGTGGGTGTGTTGAAGCTATGGGCACGCAAGGGGACTAGACCCTACACGAAGAAAAGGCGTCTACCTCCGTCACTTGTCAAGGGCGATACCCGCGTTAGGCGAATGTAGTCTCTACAGGTGGTCACTTGATACTGCGAGACTAATGCTCGCTGCTGTGACTGTGTCTCCGTGGACTCTTGGACAAGAGCATCTGACAGTGTTGTCAATCCGATTCTGATAATAAGATCGGACCTACATTCACGTATCCGGTGTCAAGACGGAGTGAGCGAAAGTCTCCACACTCCGTCACTTCTCCAAGCACTGTATCAGAAACTCCACACCCCACACCCCACATGTCCTGGAGAAAATTCAGGCAGCTACATTACTATGAATAGACAAACTACGCGGCACGTTCCCCTAGATGCCCAAAACCCACGTACCGAGAGCTACATCTCATTGTTACATTACATTACAATACGTGGAATGATACAGCGGGACCCAGGTGACCACACTTCGGGGACTCCGCCTCGCTGTTTGCCTTACCAAGAGCCAGCGGGATTGCTGAGACGCGTGGCATCTGTAGGTTAAGCTTTTCGCTTAACCGTCAGACGGTCCGCTTTAGACGGCCTGATGTGCTTTTCGGAGGGCCTAATATATGGACGTCTTCCGGCGGGAGAATGGGACGTGTTGAGATTAGCTTGGGTCATATGGGCGGAGGAAAGACTAGCGTTTTGTCAAAGTGATATTTCCCCACAACTTCCTCAGAGATGGTTATGTAATTACAGGTCCTTTCTCAAACTAGCTCCTGACATCATGTTCATCATTCTCTTCTCCTCCTCTTCAGTGGGCTCCTTCCACCAGTCGTAGAAGTTGACAGGCTCGAAGCCTCTGTCACGCCATTGCTGCACCTGCTCCGGACCGATTTGATGCCAGGGCACGCCGATATCTTTTGACACCTGGTCTTTGACATAGTTCTCCACGGAGTGACCGATACCTCTGTCATCGTTCCACTTGGCCAAAAAGAACAAGTCGAGCATCTTCTGCTGCTCAGTCGTTCGTCGTTCGACTGCTTTCTCCATGCCACGCACCATCTTTTTCTTGTTATAGGCTTGTGGTTTCATCCAATCATTCACCTTCTCGTAGTCAAGCTCGAAGCCGCCTTGATCGTATGTGGGTGAGCCCTCGCGTCCCTTGTCATGGCATATATACAGTTTGTGAAAATGTGGGGCTTGGGTATGTAGAAGCTTTCGCTGACCCAATCTTTGATCTCTTGGGGCGCACTGATGTCATCCCAGCGCGAGCGTGCCCTGCGGCCCGGAGTTGGTCTCGGGTCACGTAGCTTTGATCGATCGTAATCATATTCCAGATCTGGTGTCGTGAGTCGTGGTTTCTGCTGTTCCAGATCTTCTTCTTTCGGTTGCTCTTCCTTCTTTTCGGCCCGTACCGAAGCAGCTGTTCCCTGTCTTTCGCTCATTCGGCGTTGCTTTGCATATGCTTCATTTTCGGATGTCACTTTCCTCTTCTGACCGGCAGATTCTCTCGGGGACTCCGCGTTTTGCACTCCAGACGCAGTGTCTCTCGGCTGTTTCTCCTGATCTTGACTGGCAACGCATTCCGCATCAGCGCCACTCCTTGCGTCGCCTCGCGTCCGTGGCATGGTCGAACATCAAATTATCAAGGATATGACTGAAAAGTAGCGGATTCACCGACAAGACTTTGGGCACGGAGTTGTTCGAGTGTTTGGGTTCGACTTGACGCGTTACGCGGCACAGCTTGATGTTAGGATGACATCACGTGTTTACCCCTTGCACGCGAGCGATCGGCGCAATCGCAACTACATCGGAACGAATCCTTGGTCGACCCGATAATACTGACCGTCTCTCGGCCAAAGCGCACCATCTACTTGTATCATCCTCGACCCGTGCGATGCAGGTCCGGAAAGCCTCCCATTCTGCCTCGTATCCAGACCACGAAGCGGCACATTATCGACGTTTCAAATATCACCCGTCGGATCGGACCCCTGAGTACACCACAACGCACTGAGCACCGAACGTGTGTGCATCACAAACTTACATGCATCGAGGATGATAATCAACCGAGGGAGGCTGGTCTAACGACCGTTAGTAAGCTCGTATACATCCCTCAAGCTCATGCACGATGAGCTTATATGCGCCTCTATGAGACCATCTTCGTGCTTCGCCACCGTTGGCACGCGTCTCTTGTCGCAATACAGTAATGCGGGAGGCATACCTCGTCTCTTTCTAGAATCCATGCCGTACGAGATTGACAAGGGTGTCCGCTGGAGCGGTGTCGTGCATATTACTTGCATGTTTTGACTAGGCAGCAAAAACATGCCTTACAAGGCAGAACAGTGATGCGCGAACGACTTGTAAGGTTTTGGAGCCACATCTATTGTTTCCGACCATTGCAGTAGTCCTTGTGCTAGGTTCAATAGAGATGCATACACCACGATAGCGCGCCCGAACTGTAGCGCGAGCAAGTAAAGAGCTTGTCTTTTCCGTGTACCGGATGGATGGGTGGCTGGTTGGCAAAGGCGGGGTTTTCGGGTATTGGCAAAATCTGATAAGTCCCGACCCGCATGCCCAAACAAAATTTTCCATCTCGATCCAAACTTCACATCGAAGGACTCTATACGATTGTTAGGGAGCTCGAGAGCTTTATTGTAACATTATAAATGTTTTGTTTGGCCAAACTTCCATCGAAAGCAACATCAGCCCGGCTAGCTCAATCGGTAGAGCGTGAGACTCTTAGTTATCACGTCCTAACAGACACGATTGTATCAAATCTCAAGGTTGTGGGTTCGACCCCCACGTCGGGCTTTCTTTTTGCTACCTCGTCGATCATCATGGTCTTGAATAGGAGGTGTTGGTGGTGTGGCCGTGAAGGACTTTTTTTGGACTTCCGCACCAATCGGCCTAAAACGACTACAAATCACAATGAGAACGCTACCGCAACACGTAGAGCTGTTGATCAAGTCAAGCTTTCATTTTGGAAGTTTTCGTCCAACACAAGATTCAAAAAAGAGGGGTTATCATGATGGTGGTGGTGAAGGACAATTTTTGACTAGACATGCTAAATTATCCACTCCCACCAAAACTCTAAGATGACAAATCATACAACGAGGCCCTCTCTTGCTTGTATCGTCTAAAAACAACCCTTGCTTTTCTCCAACACGAACGATCTGAATCCCGGGCTCGCTTGGCGGTGGTTTACTTTCATCTTTGCCTAAGTACATAACACCAAATCAGTTATACTTACCACAAGCCCGCTCAATCTGACTGGCTTTTACATATGTCCTAGGGAGACAATGTGTTAGCCTTTAGTGAACCATCACGTTAACTTAGCTAGGGAGATAACATTGTAATATAGCCCAGTTTCTGTGATACGAGAAAGACCGTGTCGTCAGTAAACCTCTTCCATTCGCTGATGCACCCCAATATTCGCGAATGCGTAGTCTGCAAATTGGAGCCAGTGACTGCAGGCTACAGGCTTAGAGTCACAAAAACTGTAACGTACATGTAAACTACGACGCGTCCAACAACAAGGACAGGAGATCAATGGACAGTGTCATGAAGAGTAGATATAGCAAAGAGTAAATTAGGTAATGTAAAGTGATCGAGCATCGCACTCTACACCAAAGAGGCGTGTCGATGCAACAGAACCTTTCGTCGCCTGTAGTCCTAGAAACAATATGCCGGAGTCCATGCAATTTGTGTAGTCAAAACATTCCGTAGCAGTAGCTATGCCTGGAACTAGATGACATTGAAATCTAAGGTATGTGCGACTGCTACATATCGTTCGAGGATTAAGTCAAGAACATGCCTCCTAGAAGTCTAGATTGCATTAAGCCTTTGCCATCGGCGGGACTTTTCACCAATGTAGACTGCAGCGCACCTCTTTAGTTTCCTTATACGACATACTTACAACAAACGACGCGAGTGATACCGGAACTGTCTACTCCCGGGAAAGACCCTGCAAGTGATAGAAAGTCGAATAGCTCAACGCAAGAGAGGACTGTCAGGCTGTGTAGCGACAAGAATCTAGCTATTAGTTGCGAACGCAAGCGGCAGAGTGCAGATACCCACCTGGGCAGGTATCTTTTGATCAAGGCGCAGCGGAGATCAGTCGTTTGGACAAATTCAAAGTGCAGAACCGCGAACATATACAAACGAAGACCTTACCGAGTAGGAGACATGTTTACGCTTCAACTTCCTTCAACCCTCCGACTCACACACAACTTGGAATGTTCATACAAGTGATTTTTACTGCAACTTGACAACATGATACATATATATACTGCACGCACTTCGCACGTCGTCCACATATCAGTCGCGTCACTACCCTCACTGTCTCTTGTAACGACCCCATCAATACCATTCACCCGTGCTCAATACATCGCCACCCCACACATCACCATCACCCACACAAACCCACACATCAGAATATACATATATCATCTATTCGTTACACAATCATAATACCTATTCATAACATATCCCCACGCTCAAACATACAGATGTCACTCGAGGCCCACAACAGCCACAGCCAGAGAGGCAAAGTAAACAAGCGTAATCGAGCAAAGCTCATACAAGAAGGGGAGCCAAGTGATATCAATACAACCTCCCAAAGCATCCGAGGCATGAACAACATATGCGTCCGGTGTGGAGATTGGTGGCTGACAGTAACAATGTGGACATAGGTGCAGTGGGGTATCTCAACGCCAGCCATGCAATGCGATCGTCGAGCCGTAAGAATAGTGTTGAAGAGGGGGCGGGGAGTGAACTCTCATGCGGGAAATGCTCTCATGATTATCTCGCTGGATACGCGGGGTACGGTCCGTGTTGGTGGTGGTGGGGCGGTGCGGGCATCGATGGCTGGTAGATGGCGCGTTTGTCTTGTGGTGGGTATGCTTCGAACATGACGCGTCGTTGAGGTGCCTCGGCTCTGAGTGGACTTGGTGCTGGTTGACCGCCGGCTGGGAAGCGCTGTGAGTTGTTGGGGCTGCTCATGAAGAGGAGTGTGTCGACGGCGTCCTTCTCGGCTTGTTGGCTGGGCATGCGAAGGATGCCTGCTCGAGGAGTGGCTGGTGATCGTGGACCTGCACCAACATCACTGTAGTGTTTCCTTTGGCTGGCGCCGAGAAGCGGAGGAGGTACGTGTGAGACGCTGGAGCGTCGTCTTCGCCCACTCTGGAAGGTTGGGGCCGGTGCGAGGCCATAGCCGTGTTGTGCGCCAGTGATGGATATGAGGTTTGCCGCGGCGTTCATAGCAGGGCGGGTACCTGGTCGCCAGTAGGCTGACGGGCATTAGCATTTTCAGAGGGAGTCTTTGGGGTTGACTAACAAGCTGGAGTCCCTGCAAGTGACCGGGTTGGATCAGAAGCCGGGGACATAATCATCTGGTCTGAGATGTCAGAAACGCCGCTCGGTCTTCTTTGTCGATCGACGGTAGCAGGGGATTCGAATGCTAGATGGTCAGTCCTCCCAGGAGCAGAGTTGGGCGAACCACGCTGTGACTGGCTTTCTTCCAGCTCGTCGAGCGACTGCTTCTCCCAGCCGTTCTGGACTTTGACCATGGCGTAGGAAAGACGCGTCTTGAGCTGTGCGGATAGCTGCGTACGCGTCAGCAGACTGTAAACTTGGCCTGGAGCTATACTACGCACCTCTCCAATGCGACCTGAGTGTGTGTCCATGCTCTTGTTCCTCTTGTGTGAATGGGCGGGCGCCGATGGAGTTTCAGGCGCTAGCCCAGCGCTCTTGAGAGATCCGTCTACAGTCCTCTTGGAGCTCTTTGCTGGAGACTCTAGTGGCATGGGACCAGCTGCTGTGTCACCGGTCTGGAGCGCGTTGGCAGCAGCGGTGTCGATGCGTGGCGCCGCTCGCACCTGCCCACCAGTACTTTGACTTGACGATTCCGGCATTGGGGCCTCGGTAGGTTTACTTTGGTCTGCTACATTGGTCGAGGACGGGGTCGTGAGGTCGGTCTCGGTAGTGGTGGCCGTGGAGAGGTTGCTCGACGAGGAAGGAAGTGCCGGTGCCGAGAAGGTACTAGACACAGCAGACTGGACAGATTCCTGCGAGGCCTGGGGCTCTGCGTTGTTTAGAGTAGCAATAGTTGCTGTATGAGTGGCCTGGGCGTGTTCTGCTGGTGCAATGGCCGCGTGAGTACCGGGGTAATTAAGTCGGCTTGGGGAACGCGACTTACGCATCATGGTTTCGCGGGCGTGGCGGCGGGGTAGGAGGCAACTAGCGACTCGCGCTGTGAGTGCAATTCACAGTCAAAGTGGAAGCAGCTGCGCCAAAAATGCAGATGCAGGTAAGGATGTCAGGGTAGCAAACGTCCCAATGGCGGGTCTCGGTGGGAGTTGGATGGTCGGAGACGTGTCGTAGCAGCACCGTGGACCGTGTTCGTGCGCAGCACGCGAGATAGCGGGAAGACGCGCGAACGGGCGGGAGCAGTTCCTTGTTGGGCACCGCGGAACAGCTCGCAAAGGGCGCGCAGAATGTGGCAGGAGATGTCAGGGATGCTGTGAGGCTCTTGCGTCGCGTCTCGGTGTGGTGGAAGAGGGCAGAGCCGGGCGCATGCTCATCTGCAAGAGCCTGACGCCGCTTGTGAGCCGCGCAGTCACATGGTGCCAGCCGACGCGTCCACGTCCGGGTAGCTCTAGCGGTGGCAATCCACTTCCCAACGAGCGAACGATCCCGACTTTCGCGGCAAGAGCGCGTCCATGCCATATGCACGGAAACGCCTGGTCTGAGCAGAGTTTTCTGGCTCGACACCTGCATCAAACACCCACGCCCACGTCATGCTCTCGTCTGAGGTGGCATCCGTGGTACCAGTTGCAGAAGAGGCAATCCACCTGCATCATCGCCCCATCCTATAGTCGAGCCTTGTGCAACATGGTCGCGCTAGTCAAACGCGCGACATGCCGTTGTTGAAAAAGAGGTGTCGCGCAGGATAGACGAGAGCGTCGATGGTCGCAGTGGTGAGGTTGAAAGTGTAGAAGGAGCATGTCTGTCCACAACACGACGAGGACCATAAAAAGCATATATGCTGTTTTACTTGTTATTGGTCACGTATGAGCTGGTTGATCTGCTGTTTCACGTTGTCATGTTTCATTTGTACTACTACTGGAGTAAGTTTATCGCGAACATTCTCTACATCCAAACACTTCATTCTAACTCTACATACCCCTCTCTAACTCTTGTAGTCCCACTTGGGCAGCTTCATAGTGCCATGGTCATTCAGATGCCTGTGCATATCGAAGCTGTTCCACAGCAGATGCGGCTCATGGCCCCAGCCCTTCCTCAGGCACTCAAACTCCGCCTTGTTGAAGTAGTCCTCCAAGATGGGTACGTAGTCGGGGTGAGCGCACTTCTTGATGATGACGCGGGCACGCTCCTTGGGTGAGAGACCACGAACATCAGCGAGACCTTGCTCCGTGACGATGACGTCGAGGTCGTGCTCTGTCTGGTCGATGTGCGTGCACATGGGTACGATGCAGGACACACCAGTGGGGTCGGTCTTTGTGGGACGCGATGAGGGGGTGTGCATGATGGAGTATTTGGAGGAGCGAAGGAAGTCGGCGGATCCACCAAGACCGTTGAGCATACGGCTTCCCATGACACAGGTTGAGTTGGCGTGGGCGTAGATGTCGACCTCAACAGGTGTGTTCATGCCAATGACACCGAGACGTCGAATGATCTCGGGAGAGTTGGAGACTTGCTGGGAGCGGAGTAGCAGCTTAGGCGCGTAGCGATCCCAGTTCTCGTAGAAGCGGTGGAAGCCGTCGGGAGAGAAACGGATCGAAGTTGCCGTCGCGAAGTCCAGGTTGCCAGAGTCGAAGAGGTCCAGGAAGGAGTCTTGGAGGACTTCGGTCCATACCTTGAGGTTCTTAAAGTTTGCGCCACCGGACTGTGTCTGTCAGTATGAAGCATCCATCATTCAAAAGAGAGAGAACATACTGCAAGTCCACCAACAACAGCGTTGGCAATGTTTCCAATACCAGACTGAATGGGCAGGAGGTTCTCTGGCAGACGACCATGGTTGACCTCGTGCTTCAAGAACTCAATCAAGTTCGCAGCGATAGCCCTTGAGGTTTCATCCTCGGCGGCGTTGGGCTGGGTCTGATCGGGGTAGTCGCTTTCTACGATAGCCACAACCTTCTCTGGGTCAACAGGAATGTGCGGTGTACCGATGCGATCTTCTGGGGACATGATGAGGTAAGGCTTTCGGCGCGGCGGAAGATCGGTCATGGTGATGTCGTGTAGGCCTTCGAAAGAGGGCGCTGCGGTGTTGACTTCGATGATGATTTTATCCGCCATCTGGATCAGTTCAGGTGATGCACCAACACTGGCTCCTGGAATGATCCCACCATCCTCGGTAATGGCCGACGCTTCCACGATGGTCACATCGAGCTTGTTGTGGGGCTTGTTCAATGTGTAGAAGCTACTCGGAATCAGCACCGTTTCCTCTTCGTGGAGTTCTGCGTGTTTGTACATACCCGTACATCAAGTCAACGGGAAACATACTCAGATGTTTGTCGAAGAAGTTGATGTTGCCATTGTTGATACCCTTGGCGATCTCCTTACCGACTTGATGCGGCGACCGGCGCTCGATCATGTTGAGACGTGCCCATCGATTCTCAGTCTCCGCACCTGACGATGCACCGACGAAGAGATTGTATTTCAGCTGACCCTGGAGATTGTTCTTTTCGACATGGTCGGCCATGGCCGTGGGGATCTTCCTGCCATGCCATTAGTCTAAAACTTTAACCAATACAATAGACAAGACCGTTCAAATCAAGGCATGTATGGCGAGAGTCATGGCCAAGGCTCTTGAGTGCTCGTCTTGACCTGATCCATGCGCAGCTCGAATTGTGGAGCCGGAGATAGCTCGGCTTTCGTCACTTGCCAAACTTCCGTTCCACCTCGGGATCCAAGATCGAACTACCAAGTAGGTCCGACATCGTACGCCGTAGTCAGGGCTACCTTGAGTACCCGAAGAGCCTCATAGCTTGGCCGATAAAGTAGCGTGAGAGAAATGGAAATGCTTACTTTGGATATCCGACACCCGTGAAGCCACTCCAGCCAATGTAGGCTCCATTGGGGAAGTGGTGAAGCAAGTCCTCAGCTTTCGCAATCTTCTTGAGATAACTTGGCCTCCTGACCCGGCTCTTCAATGCTGCTGAGACCGACATCTTTGGTTCCTGTCGTTCTTCTCTTCCGCCGTGACGATCGTGATCGGATTAGTAGCTTATCGATAAGCCTAAAGCTGTTCGTGGAGCGTCAAGCTCAGCGCAGGCGTGGAATAAGAAATATAGAGTGGAGAGGAGCCGCGATGGGCAAGACGGGTCAATTGAAGTTTCTGGGGAGACTTGGAGTATTTAAAGCATGGAGAGGCCAAGACTAGACTCGTTTCGACCGGCGTCGGCGTGGAGTGTTGCTGTGGGCTGATGCTCATGATGACCCACCCAAACATGACGTCTGCCGCAAAACCCCGGTCGGGGGAGGGGAGGTGCGTGCAAGAATGCGCCATGATTGGAGGACTAGTCGTAGGATTATTGCTTTGCGTGGTTGTCTTCAACGCTGTGTAGGAAATGTCCGATCCCGATCATCCGCTGTGGAAGGTACGAAATAGCTCACTTTTTCGTGTTGTTTTCGACCTGGATACCTTCCTCAAGACACCTCCTAGAGCTGCTCACCGTACATGATACATAGATATTCTTAACAACAATCAAATACAGACTCGGCTGGAAATAGGATTTGAGATGAAAATGTGAAATTATGATCGCCCGTCGTACCTGCGTGTGTATTCATACATGTAAATTCAACCCGACTCCACGCCCATGTTACCGCAGTGGGGCTAGCCATATGATTTCCCCATCTACAACTCCATTATCTCTTGAACCTCATCCACGATACCATCCCATAATGTCTTCTCTGGTGCGAAATAGGTCTTGAAGACATCTTTCAGCACCTTGTCACCAAGATCCATGTGTCCGCCCTTGGTCGTCTTGAAGTGCAGACCACCCTTCTCGTCAAGCTTCTTGAGCCCAATCCAATCCTCCTTGTAGATGTCGCGATCCCTCAGATCCGTGACCTCGTTGCTGGTAGTGTTGGTGTACGCGAACCAGCCAGACTCCTTCGGTATGACAGTGGTGTCGTCCTCGAACACGTACATGACGAAGTTGTCTAGCGCGGCAAGGTTCTTCGCGTAGGTGACGTTTTTCAGCACCCTCTCGTTGTTGATGTCGGCGATGAAGTTGGAGGATTCGAGATACTCTTCTGTGGGTTCTCCAGTCGTCTCGTTCGTGGCCTTGAAGTACTGCGCCGGCACCAGGTGCCCCTGCACCCATGCGCCCCAGGTGTTGGATTTCAGCAACCCGATGTAGCCCTTGCAAAGCCAGTCTCCATCTTTACAAAGCTGATACTTTGCGATGCCGTTGTGTTGACTACCAAATGTGACCAGGTTCTTGACTTTGATTCTGTCGCCACAGCGCTCTATCATTCCACGCAGGAACTGACCGCCCTGCGAAAAGCCAAGCGCGTTGAGGCCTGGGGCTTTGCTCAAAACCGCGTGTTCTGCGATGTCGTCGCAGACCTGCGCAATCTGCTCTGTAACATTGCCCAAGAATGTGGCTGTTCGATCGCTTCCAGCATCTTCATCAAGCCGGATATAGTATACGTATGTGTCGGGGTTCGTCTCGTTTGCGAGGTCGCCTACGCTATGCAGGCCGTCTGCGGCATAGTTGTCGCCTAAGCCGTGCCAGATGAGCAGTGGGAGAGGCTTGGAGTCGCTGCGTGCGAGCGGTGACGCGATCACCTGCGTTACGAGTAGGAGCGTCGAAATTGGAAGTAAGTGAAGCATTTTGGCGATGATGGAATGAAAGTGGAATGTGGAGGTTCGAGAGGCGCAAGCTGAGAGCATATGAGACGCGCACTGATCTACGCGGCGTTGTATGACGTTGGCATCAAGCCGAGGCAGGTACAGCCGGACATGGTCATAGCTTTCCATAGCTTTTACGTCCACGCAAAAAACATGACATGAGCAAGGCAGTGTCGTCGTGATTTATGGAAAGCAAATGTACATTCTAACAGTTGCACAGAGTCTATGTTGCTATGTGCCGACCAGTGGTATACTATCATATCGTCAAACAGATCTTTTGAACGCCGGAACGCCAACACATTGCGCCGTGCCATGCAATGATGATTGTAATGGATTGTTTAACCAGCAATCAACGGCGTCTGTACCGACTGGAGTGCCTCTTGCTTCATTGCTTTCCGCTTCTCCTTGCTGATCGAGCTCTTCTTCTCTGTCTTCTTTGCCTTCTTGGCCTCTCTCCTGGCCTGCTTCGCAGCGAGCTCTTCATCGTCGAGCATCTCCTCCTCCCACTCATCCCACTTTCTCTTGCGCTCCGCAGACTTGCCCTTTGGTGTGCCCTCTGTGATGGCCTTGTGGTACGGTCCTTCAAGGATTTGCTCAGACTCAGTCCATAGTTCGTCAGCGAGCCAGATGGGTAGGGCCTTGGTCGCGGGACCTTTGACGTGCAGACTGCGGATGTTGCGCCAGCCTTGGCCGACGTGCTTGTTAACGACTTCGGACACGACAGCGGCAGTGTTCTCCGTAATCTGTTGAGGGGTCATGGAGAGGTTGGCGACCTTGATAGAGGTGTTGGCGGAGGGGCTCATGCTGAGGTAGGTCGAGTTGAGAGCAGACTCAATCTCCTTTGCTACACCTTGCGGTGTGCCGACCACATTCTGGGACTCCTTCGCATCCTTGTCCTTCTTCGCGCTCTTGTCGATGTATGCGCCAGCAGTAAGGCGGATTGGAATCGGGCGCTTTGACTTGCTCTTGTAGAAGACTTTGCCTAGGCACTCTGCGACAATCTTGATGATTCGATCGTCGACCATGAAAACGTCGTACTCGGCAAGAAGCGCGCGCTTCTGCTCGAATGCCTTGTATCGCTTCTTCAGCTTGTCTACACCGAGCACACGCTGCACCTTTCCGCGAAGGCCGGCCGGGAAAGCGTCGGATGCGACGAGGTCTTTGTACGCTCTTTGCGGGTCTTTGGTGAAGATGCATATCCGTACATCGCTTGCAATGATGGGATGGGGTAGCTTGCTAGTATATGTTAGCGGTGTGGCGCAAGCGCTGCGATGCGCGAACATACATTGCCAGAGGCTTCATGCTCTTGGTGTTGCCAATCTGCTTCTTCGTCGCCAGACTGAGAAAGATGGGTTCGTCGACCTCCTCCGCCTCGTCCTCATCAGCCGCCAAGCTCTTCTTGGGTGCTTCCTCCTTCTTGTCCTCGACGTGTTTCTTCATGTGCGCAACGAGCGCCTTGGCCGCGCGCTCGACTTGCGACGGGTCGAGCTGGTAGGGCGTGCCATTCGTGGCTTTGGTAGTGAGCGGCGCCTCGGGCGCCTTCTCAACCTTCTTGGTAAGGGTCTTGGATTTGGCCATTGTTGCTGTGGTATGGTGCGATGTTGCTGGTCGCTGGAAATTCTGGGCTAGACCCTTGTCCCTTCGAACTTTTTGCCGGCGCCACAGTTTCTCCGAAGCCCCGAAGTCAAATGCGGGGCTCCTCAGAGCCAATCGTCGCGTCGCAGTATCCTCAAGCACACGACAGGCTATTCACCCTTGCAATGTCACCAGCCGATGGATTTCAATTTCAGTCCTTGTCTCCATGCCGTCAGCCGTTTCATGAGCAGCGCGTCAATGTGGTATAGGGGGCACACTGGCTATCATCCCGAGGTCATTTGTGCCCGTCACAGAAAAGTGGATGCGAAATGTTCACACCATCGTGGACTGGACCATTAAGGTTTCGTGGACGCGGTAGCAATTATCAACAGTATATTGGATTGCCCACACGAGACAAAAGTGTTCGTTATCGATTGATCGAAGCCAGTCCGAACACGGTCCAGCCGAAACGCCATCACCGTGCGCTCGCCTGGCCATCTTTCACGACGCGTCTATACCACTGTCGCGCGTCCGTCGGCCCTACCGCTCCACTTTGGTTACGAACGTGTTTGCTCTCGCGTTAGCTGCATCGATTGCTGCACAAAGTTTTTCTTTTCACCTGCGTGACGTTTGCCTGTATCTGGATATTGGCGTACGGCTGTGGGTCCATCCAATCGCTGCCCAAGAACGCGTAGTACATCAAGATCTCGGTACGCGTTGAGTGCCTGCGTGTAGATTGCTTTTGGGGTATTCACTTTACTTCACGCAGTCGTGAAGTTTACTGTGACCGACGTGTATGCCATCAGGGCAGCAGGAAGTGTGAAAGATTCAGTCTCAGCGCGTAGATATTACCAATGATTGCAGATTAATGTGGAATTGGCTGCAGTGCAGAGGGGCTGGCAGAGCGGAGAAAACCAAGTTAATGTGGCAGCCGAGGACAGAATGTATGTCATAGGCGTAATAATTGTGCTCGTGCACAGAGGCTGGTGAACGGATGTGGCCGACGTGACTGAACTTTGGGATATGTATAGCGAAGAAGCGCTGCAAAAGCCTGGGAAAGAATGCAATCGGACTAGCTGAGACACGCAGGGCATCTTGTATCTGAAAGCATGTTACAAAAGACGTATTGCAAGGGCGGAATGCGTGGTGAACTCGGGTGCTGGTTCTTAAGACGGTCCTAGCTTCATCACGCTAGCCAACCCACACCCGCGTGTCGCGACGTCTTCCATGATCGCGTTCGTGACCCGTAGTTTCGCAATTGACCTCAT